GGAAGAAAACTAAAAAGTTTCCAGATTTCCACAATTTTGTTTAAATGGAACCGGACGGAATAATGTCTGAAAAAGGCATCGTGTGCTGAAACATGTCACGGTTCCATATAAATAAAATAATGGAAATCTAGAAACTTTTTTGTTTCCTTTCAAAATTTTCAATTTCCATCAAGTATCGGCTAAATCAATCCCTTTTAGTGAATTTTTCATATATTTATAACAAATATTTTTTTTTTACATAACAGCCACAAAGCAAAATTCATATAAAGGTTGTAAACATTGTTGGATTTGAACTAAACTAGTTTTATTTATTTAACGAAATAATAATCAGTCTCAGATGTTACATAGGTATTTATAGAAATAAGATGTAGTTGCACTTCTCTACCAAATGACTTAGGCCTAGTTATATTTGAATAGTTCCTTGTTAGTTTATTGAAGGATCCTATAGCGGGACTACTCTGCTTATGCTATTCCTGCCTATACCTATTGGTTCTTATTTTCGAACACGCATTTGACCACAGGTTATTGTCAGATGATCATGTATATCGGAGTTTTTCATTGGTTCAATTTTGGTTTTAATTTGTTTGTGCAATATTTTTAGTATTAATTTATATTCTTCGACTACAGCAAAGTCTTTGATTTGGTAGAGCTATGGGCAATCTTCGCAGCCATGAGAAATGCAAAAATAGATTTAGCAAAAATTTAAATACGTACCAAAAAGCAACACTCAATATTGCAGAAGATCGATCAACGGTTATATTATAGCGGTGAATAGGGATGTACGGAAAGGAGATGATATCTCTCCCAAACTTTACACTCTTACGCTGAAAGATGTAGGTATTCGAAACGTTGAACTGGAACAACAAAGGTATTGCGAACCGAGGGCAGATATCCAACCCACCCCCGTTTTGCAAACGATATTGATCTCATGAGTTAAAACACAGAAGATCTGCAAGAGATGCTGTCGGGAATGAAAGTGAGATCAGCTCAAATAGGACTTTCTTTAAACTTGGAAAAACCAAAAGTCATGTCCTCAGAAAATGTCAGGATTCGTCTAGATGATGTGATCGTACAAAATGTCAAGAATTGTGTTTACTTAGGGCATAACATCAAGATCGGTGAACCAAACCAAACAACAGAAATCAGTAGAAAAATCCCATTAATGTGGACAGTCACTGGAAAGCCAAGAACTGTTCCGCGGGGTCCAAAAATCCCTATAAACCCAAAGAAGAAGTTATTTGAAATATGCATCTTCCCTGTAATGACTTATGCCATGAAAACTACGTCGCTTATAATTGAATCAGAAAACTTAGGACCCCGCAAAAAGCCATTAAAAATAAGTCACACAGATCATACCAAAAATGACGAGACCAGGCGAAGAACAAAGATGGATAATGTCATTACCCGAATAGCAGAATTAAAACCAATTTAATGTTGTTAAAAAATAGTTAATATTATTTTACTATAATATCACCCCGGTAATATAATTCAATACTTCGAAAAATTAAAATCAATAGAGAGAAGTTTTCCAGATGTGTTAATTTCTATTTTTTACAATTTCTGGCTCCTTTAAATATTCGAAACTGTATTTGTGTCATTATTCACAATTTTCGTCTAGAATATATTAAAACTATGTGTGCCTGTCTATACAAGATGCTCGTTTGTGCGATCCATGCGTCGGACCCTTCTGCCATCCGCACACGGGTCATCCTCTCTATAGTCTATTTGCGTCTTTCAAACTAGAAAGAACCTTTTTTTTTCGTCTCGTATCTTCTGACGATAAGGAAGATATTGCTATGTTTCTGTGGTATCGGCGGGTGAAAAGAAGAACACAACGTAGATTATGGGTGCATCTGTACATTGAACGAAATTTTCACTTTCGGATCCGTACATTGAACAAAATTGTCACATTCGGTTATATCTTGCTGCACGAGAAATGCAAGAGAGCGACGAAAATTTCTGGTATTAGAATTAATCGTATATCTCACGCGATTCTTCACTCGAATAATGCGCTAGACTGATTTATCAAAAAAGCTCTGCGGTTAAGTTTTAGTAGCATTTCATATTACTTCCGTGCAAAAGGTCTTATCTCCCAATTTTGACCCTGCTGAATCCGAAAATGCCGGTTGCCTAAGCGAAATCTGGACCAGAATTGCGATATCCAAGATGACGGCTGATATGGAGACGAAACCCAAAATCGGCGCAGTGAAGCCCCCTTCGACATAGAAACGCATCCAAAATGTCTAGTATAACGGTTTTTAGCATGAGAAATTCAAAAATACCTAAAAGATAAGCGTTGGTTAAATTTACACCTCTTCAGGGCCTGCCTCGCATAATATGGTCTAATACCACCTTCCTGGCGTAAGGTTCAAGTGGTATTCATCCCCAAACCAAGACGTTATGGTTACGAAGCGGCTTAGGAATACAGACCCATCAGTCTATCCTCGTTTCTTCTAAAAACGCTGGAGAGTAGACACATTCATTGGGGCAGGGGCATTAGGGACAATGCCCATGCACCCTAATCAACATGCCTACAGGACTGCCATGTCAACTGAAACAGCTCTTCACAGCCTTGTGGCAAGTGAGGGATGTCTCATATAGAGATGGCTCTGGGGGTATTTCTAGACCTCGAAGGGGCATTTGATAACACCTTCTTCGACTCGATAGAAAATTCTGCAGAAAGTGTCATGCTGCAAGGCAGAATCATTAAAAGCTGGATTGGAAGTGCGAAGATCAACTAAGATCAACTAACTATCGCCCTTACTGTGGTGCCTAGTGCAGCATGTGCTGCTTCGCACTCTGAACGAGGAAGGTATGTACACTCAAGGCTACGCGGACGATCTTGTCATCGTCGTGGCTGGTATGGTAGGGTATCCAGGACCATTAAAGGGATCATGCAAAGAACTCTTAACATGGTCAAAAGATGGTGTAATATTCACGGGCTTTCGGTAAAGCCGGACAAGACCGAAGTGGTAGGTATCATTCGTCCAGATAACCACTGCTAGCTTTTGGGTCTATGGAACATCCATCTGACGAACCTCGGGCTTACATGCCCACATAGTCCGCTGGCTTTACACGGCAGTGACAACCCCAATATATACGGCAAGTACGGCAGCTTCGTTTCGTGGGACGTGCTTAGCAAATCTACTTACAGGGCAAAGCTAGACAACCTCCAACCACTTGCCTGCATCGCTAAAATTGGAGCCTTTAGAACAACTCCAATGCTGGCATTGGAGGCCATCTCTTCATGGAGGCACGGGCCCGGGAGGCTTTAGTCAGACTCAACGATTGGGGACAATGGGCTCATAGAGGGCTGAACATGGGACATGCAAGGGCCTGGACTGATAGTATCAGACAAGACCCCCTTCTCACCAGGAGGGATGCAATGCCAAAAATTGCAGTCCCCCGTAGACAAGACAAGGTCATCATCCCTGTAAGGGATGACTCGCTAGAGCCTGACCCAGGATTCCTCAAGGGAAAGGGGCTCATCTGGTTCACAGGCAGGTCTCTGATAGGAGAGGGTGCAGGGGCTGGTGTATCTGGGGAGAGACCTCTGGCGAGAATCTTGCACTCGACACCCATCAGTTTACCAGACTGAGACCTACGCCATACATGTGTGTGCTTAGGAGAATCTTCAGAGAGGTTGCCTGAGCATATTTATGTAATGCAGCGACAGTCAGGCAGCACTCCGAGCCCTTTGCTCAGACAAGGTCAACTCAAGGCTCACGCTTGACTGTCTGAAAACCCTAGAACTACTTAGTGAGCTCAACAAGGTCGCCCTTGTTTGAGTCTTGGATCACACGGGCATAAAAGGCAACGGGGAGGCGGACAAGCAGCAAGCGCGTGACTCCAGCAACACTGCCTTTATTTTACCAGAGCCTGCACTTGAGGTTGCGTCCTGTCTGGGTGAAAACCAAGATCAGGAACTGGTCCAACAGCCAGTTCCAAGACGACCGGGTAATAGGTACTAGATATTTTGGACGCATTTCTATGTCAAAGGGAAGCCTTACAGCGCCGATATCGGGTTTTGGCGCCATATTGGCAACCATCTTGGATATCTCACTTCCGGTAGAAGTTTCCGTTCGGCAACCGGCATTTTCGGATTCAGCGGTTTCAAAATAGGGGGGAAAAATTGTTGGAGTAAAAAGTTTTTTAAACGACGCCGGCAGACTTTTCGTTTGATGTACTGGGAGCTTACTTTTGTTGGAAATATTGTCGATTTTGCTCATCAAAAATAAAATATTGGTCAGGTAAATCTTATTACCAAAAGTTTTTATAGAAAGTAGCAACTTTTTAGTATTCAATTCCAATTATGTTTTTCTTCACTTCAAACTAAACTGTTTCCAAATTATTAACACGCTACATTTGGAAACGTGTAGGTATATCAAAAGTTGTTACATATATCACAATAAAATTGGATTTTATTTCATGTATTTATTGAATTTATTAACACAGCAAATACGAGGTTTAGGATTCCAGGTATTTTAAGTTTTTATCGCGAGCAATAAATACGGATGAGTTGGCAAAAAAATCAGATTTAACGCGAGTAATAAATTATCCCATTTACCGGTAGAAGTAGTTCTGCTTCCGTCAGCATTTTGTAAACTTGCGCCGATTTCATGTATGTAAACATTGTAATTATTGGTAATTCATAATTTGAAAAGTTATCCAGTTTAGGTACTTTTTGAGACTTGAACGCAATGAGAGAAATTTTGCTTGATCTAGATGATTGTCATCTAATTTTTAACCCGCTACTAAAGTTTACTTTGCAATAAATAGTTGCTCAAACTATAATCTAGATCTACAAAATAAATTGTTTATGCAATAATCACGGTTTGTAGTAACGACATGCTGATACTGTTAAAATTTTCTGCAACATACAAACATTCACTTACCAGGACACTTTTAGAAACAAATCCGATAAACACCTATCCAGCCATTCATTTTTGCACTACAAACTCAACGTACCAACTGATGTAAAAATAATGTTTTTGTTCCAGGATGCGTCAGGATGGCCAGATGGACGTTTCTCCAGTTTGCAGCTGTGATCCTCAACTGTTTTTTTTTGTCAGCGCCGTGTTTAACCTTTCGTTGAATCAATGTTGACTTTAACGAATCTATTTTATCTTGTTCTATTTTTTATTCTTGGACTAAGTATAATGATTCGGTATTAATTTAGGTAATTACAACAATAACATTTATTAGCCCATTTTTTTTTTCTGTACAGGGTTGTCAGAACGTATCGGAAATAATTTATTAATTTCGGTCGATTTCCATAGAAAAAATATTGTGATTTTCTCACCGGGGCAAACATTTTTGTATTATTTATGATAATACGGGGTGACCGGCTAGTGGACGAATTACTTCTAGGACGTGTTAGTGGAGTTGATTTGCCAGCAATATTCTAACATATATTAACAAATTTGTTTCTATTGCTCCACCAGACATTGAAATAGTTACTGAAGCAGGGCTAGACTTGTTAACTTTCTAGCACAAGCCTTGAAATAATTTTACAAAATTCACGATTAGGGAGGGTTTCATCCAAGAATAACAAAAGGCTTACATAAGATTTTTGGGCTCTACAGATTTTGCCATTTTTTTTATATGTCGTAGAGGATTTGAGTGTCAATAACCTTTAAATGGTACCAAATCTTGTTCGTGTGACAATTTGTGAGGTATAGGCGATGAATAATGAACTTTTTCCGGAAAAATTTTGACGATATAAGTACTGATGTTTATCAGGCAAAATACTGACGGGTCAACATATTTTACGTCACTCAAAAATGTTTATAGGGGATCGCAGCTTTTATAAAATTGTTACAGGGCATATGATTTGCAAAATAATCCATCATTCAACGTTTATAATAATATGTCACAAACCGTAATAATTACAAGAATTGTTTCCATTTGAAAATTGTTAAGAGTTAACGATTTACGTCATCAAAAAATTGGCAAAATCGATGGAGCCCCAAAAATCCCATGTTAATCTTGCGTTATCCTTTGCAAAGTTTAAGTTACCATTCAGCCTTTTTCTAATTTTTTCACAGTATGTTCTTCCAATCATTAGAAAGATTTATCGAATGACATAAGAATTTTCCAAAAAAAACATCGATGGAAAAGTATGCAGGATTTTTTCGAACAAAATACTATTTCAAATCCTCAAGATCAACACGAGAAAGTTTTATCGCTTTACAGGAAAAGGAAACTAGTTTGATCTAGTTGATGCAACTTTGAGAATTTGTATAGCCCTTTGATACCCGTTTTCCGAACTACAAGATATCGGTTACATAAACTTATGCAGATATAAATCGTCAAATGATAATAGACTTATCTCTCCATAACTTCATGTAACACATATTTTATGGTTCAGAAACCGAGCATAAAAAAGACAAAATATGTGCGCATCCTATACTTGTATTTGCAGCGAAATTGTCAACACTGATAGACTTTGAATAATGGAAAGAACCATCGTTTCTACCGCAATTCGTGCAATATTGGAAATTGACAGAAAACAAGCAGATGGATTTACTCTAATTACTTGGAGGAGAGGAAGTAATAATACGAGATGCATTTATTCATTCCGTTCCTACATATATATGGCACCTAGCACAATCCCATTGGTCAGATTTAAAATTTAAACCAATTAAACTTCAAGTGCCATACGCGCGTACGGAATGTAAATCAGTGCCACGCGATTACGGAATGTCATACGTAGTTATTGCAGCAGAAAATTTTGTTAAGCTGAAAACGAGTTAAGCGTTAATAAGGTATTTTTCAACTATATCTATTTTAAACTGCAGTAAATACTGTATCTCAAATTAAGTGCTAGTATGGCGTATTGATTTTCCAATTTTTTTATGGAATTTCGAATGTAATAATTAGGTAGGTATTATCAACACATTACAAACATGCAGTGTATTGATCTAAGTTTCGGTGAGCAAAGAAAATATACATAGAGTATCAGAGCGAAAGCGAAAAGCGTCAATATGTTTATTGAATAATATAATCAAAGACAAAAATTCTCCCACCCATCGTCTAGCGTCATTTTCAGTAATTACGTTTGCTCTATATTTTGCAGGACTCTGTTCAAAATAATTATAATTCAGAGGAAGCAACGTTGTCGCAACATGCATGGCGACTTCAAACACCCAAATAAACACAAGAGATCTGATTAAAATAATATCGGCGAAGCAATAACTGCCAATTTATTGTTCTGTAAGTTATGTAAGCCCGACACTCACAATAATCACAAAAATGGAAGAGGATATTTGGCCACTAGAGACGTGATTTTACGTGCGCATAACAAATAACTATATTACAATCCGTAACTGCATATGGCACTGATTTACATTTCGTACGCGCGTATGGCACTCGAAGTTTAATTGGTATAAATAAATATCTACGGGATGCAACTTGCTGTGATACAATTTTTTACTTCTTCAAAAATTATGCTTCAGAAAAAGCAGCTGAGCTTTCGGAAAAAAAAAACGAAGAGGCAAACCAATTTGTGGAACCACTTGGTAGCAACATACGAACAAGAGCTCCATACAGCTAATAATTATCTCAGTCAAATAAGAAGCAGATCATCATAAATACAGGGTGTCCGTTCTAAGTAATACCACTATTGCTATCTCCGAAACGATAACAGCTTCTGTTCGTTTCCGAGATATGAGGGAAAATGTAAAAAATGCCTAAAACTTATTCAATGAATATTTCAAAAATTATCATCTTTAGAAAAAAGTGTTCAATATAAGAGTTTCAAGATTTTTTCTTCTCTACAAAATGGCGTAATTGTCATTCTCACACGGCTTTCAGTTTTTGAGATATCAGTACAAACTTAATTTTTTTTGATAGGGACCTGGATTTTTATTTAAAAATAAAACCTCTCCCTTTAAAATGTCGTATAGCTCAGGCGTGTTTCCAGACGTTTCGGTATGGAAATAGCCATCATCAATACTTTTTCCTTAGTATGTACCTGATGTATTTCAAGCCCAGCTAAAATACGGCATTTCCTGCTGCATTAGGTATATCTTTTTATTATTTGTCCGAAATTGAGTTTCGAATAGCGATATGTCAAATCTATTGAAAAAAAATTGCCAACATAAAGAGATATAAGAATTTATTCAACTATACACACATTTTTAATTTAACTTCAACGCATTAATAACTTACTAAACAAAATACATATTCAAATTTAAAAAAATGCAACTGGTATAACAATATTGTGAGTGTTGAAAATGTTCCCAATTGTTTCTCAAGAACAGTCTTGCATTTTCAATCACTCCTATTTGGATGATTTGCAGCATTATGAGAAAAACTTTTCTATAGTTTACTTGAATTTTACATTTGTGGTCATCTTCATCCAAGGAACAAGTTTTGTATAGGTACCTACAGGGTGTTTGGTACATCGATAGGAAGTTTTCAATGAGTGATAGTTGGGGTCATTTGGAAGCTGTTTAACCACATATACCCTTATGCAAAGTTTTGTCGTTTTTGAGATATCAGCAATTTAGATATATTCGGGAAATATTTGAATTGGTCCTGAAACCTATTGTTTTTCTGGGTAGTAACCACTTTAACATTTCTCAATTTTTTTTTTCCGATGTGTCTAATATGCACTTTTTCATAAAAATACGAAAAGAAAAACCGAATGATCGATACAGAAAATATGTAACGCAAGTTGTGGGTTAAAATAAATGGATTCAAAATATCTAAAAATGGCGATATCTCAAAAAACGGCGAAACTTTGCATGATGTTAAATATGGTCAAACAGCTTCCAAATGACCCCAAATATCACTCCTTGAAAACTTCCTATCGATGTACCAAACACCCTGTAGATATTTGTTCTTTTATGTAACCCCATATAGGAAAATCCAATGGGAAGAGGTCGAGTGAATCAGGCGGCCAGTTTATCGGACTGTTATTACCAAACTATTGGGTAAACAAATATTGAGAGATCTTGTACATCTGGGTTCAAGATGTGCCAGGGCACCATCTTGCTGGAAATACTGGAAGATCATCTAACATTCAAATTGCAAATCATTCCGTAAAAGTCGCAAGTACCTTCTACCATTGAGGTTCTCTTTGAAAAAGAAGAGACAAATTGCTTTGAAGTCTAGGATTCCAAGCCAAACATTGATACCTACCAAATCTTTCCTGGAAAGATGTTTCTCTATGAATGTGTTGGTTTCCATGGGTCCAATGGTAGTGAATATTGCGATTAAACTACCCGTTATTGCAATGCCAAAAATTATGAAAAAAACGCACATCGTGCGTGATCGCAGTGATGTAGGATACTTCTCAATAATTTTGTACCCAACCGTTGGATTAGTAATAAAGGTCCCATAAACAATGGCGAACATTTTCAACAGTCATAACAGTGTTACCAAATGCATTTTTTCAAATTTAAATATTTATTTTGATTGTTTGGTTATTGATGTTTGTTTTTGTTTTTATTATCTAATTTTCGTCTTTTCTCTCTGACACTAGTCTAATCAGGACGGGTCCTACAGTTCAACGTGATGCTCCCTACCCCTGGAGCGCTTCCGAACCACGGTCATCAGTTTCACACGAAATATAGGCGTGTACCCTTCAGGAGCACTACCGGTTATTTTTCTTGGTACAACTTAGCGACTAGGAAGTGTGTTCCTAGGACCCCTTTTTCTCCAAGGTATATCCGATACCATCCGGCCTCTAACCGGCGTGAATAGGGAGAGGACGAAGATATATTTCGTACTCTTCCCTACGCAGCCACTGAATGTCCAACCGAAAATATTTTTTGGTCTGGCCAGGATTCGAACCCAGTCTACCAGCAATGTTGCCCATGTAGTCGAGCGCGTTAATGCACACGACCCCGTGGCCAGTTATCAATGGGTTGAGGTGAAATTAAACATGTGTGTAATTGAATACATTTTTACATCTCTTCATGTTGGTATTTTTTCTCAATAAATTTGACATATCGCTAGCTCAACCTCAGTTTCAGACAAACTATAAAAATATATACCTAATGCAGCCGAAAATGCCGTATTTTAGCTGGGCGTGAAATACATCAGGTCTTTACTAACAAAAAAGTATTGATGCTAGCTATTTCCATACCGAAATGTCGGGAAACACGCCTGAGGTATAGGTCATTTTAAATGGAAAAAAAAATTCTTTTAAAAAATAAAATAAAAAATCCAGGTTCGTATTTAAAAAAATGTCGTGTCAATAACTGAAAGCCGTGTGAAGAACAATTACGCCATTTTGTATAGAAAAAGAATTCTTGGAACTTTTGTGTTGAACACTTTTTTTTAAAGATGATAATTTTTCAAATATTCATTGAATTAGTTTTGGGCACTTTTTACATTTTTCTTCATGTCTCGGAAACGAGTGAAAATTTGGCAACCCTGTGAAATTACCTTTACTGGACACTAAAATCTGCCACTATTGTCTAATTTAACTATTGAGGTAGCGATATAAGGATGCGAAATAAGGTGAAAAAAGTGTATCCATATTGTTACTACACTTCTGTCTGAGATTCTGTCACTTTTGTCATTCCAACGTGTCAGAATTGCATCAGGGCCGCATTCTCAATCCGAAGATTTTTTAAATGCGAAAAATTTTTGAAGCGCAGAATTCCCATTTTGGGTCTTGGAAGGATTTCCTGTTTCAGTATGTTGAAGATTCTATAGCACCTTTTTCTTTCTTGGTGTAATCTCGATTTTTTTACGTTTTTAGATAAAAATTATAAAGAAATTATTTAGTTCGGCTCTGTTTAAGAAGCCATATTGTTCCTACACTTAGCCACGCCTACCGTCGCCCTTATCTATTGCACTATTCAAATGATGACAGCGTCTCCTTACTATTCTACCTCAATGAATTTAACCGACCCCGAAGCTCTTACCGCTTTGGAGATAGCAATAGTGTGAAAAATCTGTATGCGGAGATTATCCAAGTAAAACAAGATTACTTTTTTTGACTTTTTCTAAAAAACTAACAATCTCCACCCTTCACACAATGTAGGTACCCATCTAACACTCAACCAAAAGTTAGGGACAATGACAATTAACATGTCATGTTGGTTGAGCTTCAGTGTCTCTTCTTTTCCGTTGAAAATATCTGTATGTTGACGGGATTCTATTGCTTCTTGTATACAGGGCCCCTGTAGGGGGTGCAAGAAACTTCATGGAACCGCATTTGCCTTTCCAAGGCCCGGTTGTACAGTCCAAGCTCAAACAGTGGTTTAGTTGAACTCTACTGGTACTCGAACTTTCTTATTTGAAATGCGTTGCTGTAAAAAAATCTCCACTTTGGCATACTTCTGACACCAAT